ACAATCCCAGTTCCAGTTCGTTCCAAACAAAGGGTCGCGCCCACCATTGACCCACAACCAAAGAAGAGACAACTAGACGACGGATGGCCCGAGAGCGTAGAGGAGCAGGGTCTTCTCTTGTTAGTATGGAGACGCAATATTAGAAACGATATATGAAAGCTGTGTTATAGGCAGTCGAGAAGAGGAGTATCAAGACAAAATAGTGAGAAGTGCAAGACAATAGTTTGCATCGCAAACACTTTTACACACAGACGCTTTTACACAGACGCTTTTACACACAAAGCTTTTACCCACACAAGCTTTTACAGACAGAAGCTTTTACAGACAGAAGCTTTTACATACAGAAGCTTTTACATACAGAAGCTTTTACATACAGAAGCTTTTACACACTTACGCTTCTACACAGACACTTTTACACACAGACACGTTTACACACAGACACTTTTACACACAGACCCTTTTACACACAGGAGCTGCTTTTACACACAAACGCTTGTACACACAGAAGCTTTTACACACAATCACGTTTAAACAGATGCAATTTTACATACAATCACTTTTACACACAAACTTCTTTACACAGAAACACTCGTACACACAAACCCGTTTACACACAAACACTTTTACACACAGAAGGTTTTACACACAACACTTTTACACAGATGCACTTGTACACACAAACACTTTTACACACAAACATCTTTACACAGAAACGCTCGTACACACAAACCTCTTTGCGTGCGAAAAAGTTACTCCAGCACACGAAAAATCGCAATTTTACCTCAGTTTTTGCCGATCGACCCTCATTTCGTGCGAAAGGGTTGCTCCGGGGCAAGTCAAATCGCAATTTTACCTCAGTTTTTGCCGATCGACCCTCATTTCGTGCGAAAGGGTTGCTCCAGGACAAGTAAAATCGCAGTTTTACCTCAGTTTTTGCCGATCGACCCTCATTTCGTGCGAAAGAGTTGCTCCGGGGCAAGTCAAATCGCAATTTTACCTCAGTTTTTGCCGATCGACCCTCATTTCGTGCGAAAGGGTTGCTCCGGGGCAAGTAAAATCGCAGTTTTACCTCAGTTTTTGCCGATCGACCCTCATTTCGTGCGAAAGGGTTGCTCCAGGACAAGTAAAATCGCAGTTTTACCTCAGTTTTTGCCGATCGACCCTCATTTCGTGCGAAAGGGTTGCTCCAGGACAAGTCAAATCGCAATTTTACCGCAGTTTTTGCCGATCGACCCTCATTTCGTGCGAAAGGGTTGCTCCAGGACAAGTAAAATCGCAATTTTACCTCAGTTTTTGCCGATCGACCCTCATTTCGTGCGAAAGGGTTGACGTTTCGTGACTCGCCGCCGGCACCACCCTCGGCCTTAAGAGAGAAAGATAAAAAGAAGGCATGAGAGAGAAGGTGAGCAGGTGTGAAGATAAGAAGATGTGAGAGAAAGATAAAAAGAAGGCATGAGAGAGAAGGTGAGCAGGTGTGAAGATAAGAAGATGTGAAGATGAGCAGATGTGAACATGAGCAGATGTGAAGATGAGCAGATGTGAAGATGAGCAGATGTGAAGATGGGAAGGTGTGAAGATGAGCAGATGTGAAGATGAGCAGATGTGAAGATGAGCAGATATGAAGATGAGCAGATGTGAAGATGAGAAGATGTGAAGATAAGAAGATGTGAAGATGAGCAGATGTGAAGATGAGCAGATGTAAAGATGAGCAGATGTGAAGATGAGCAGATGTGAAGATGAGAAGATGTGAAGATGGGAAGGTGTGAAGATGAGCAGATGTGAAGATGAGAGGATGTGAAGATGAGCAGATGTGAAGATGAGAGGATGTGAAGATGAGAGGATGTGAAGATGAGCAGATGTGAAGATGAGAGGATGTGAAGATGAGAGGATGTGAAGATGAGCAGATGTGAAGATGAGAGGATGTGAAAATGAGAGGATGTAAAGATGAAAAGATGTGAAGATGAGAGGATGTGAAGATGAGAGGATGTAAAGATGAAAAGATGTGAAGATGAGAGGATGTGAAGATGAGAGGATGTGAAGATGATGAGAAGATGTGAAGATGAGAGAATGTGAAGATGAGAGGATGAGAGAAGATGTGAAGATGGGAAGGTGTGAAGATGAACAGATGTGAAGATGGGAAGGTGTGAAGATGAGCAGATGTGAAGATGAGCAGATGTGAAGATGAGAAGATGTGAAGATGATGAGAAGATGTGAAGATGAGAGAATGTGAAGATGAGATGTGAAGATGAGAAGATGTTTTACAGACCCCCACTATTGGAAGAACCCTGCTACCATGTTGGATACCAAAACAGGTTGGGATGAACTCTGGGGGACAGCGAATCTGTCAGAATCTGTCAGATTGATCTGATCAAAAAATATAAAGATCTGATGTTTCATCATTGCAATAAAAAAACTGGGACCAAACTTTACCATAAGTTTACCAGATCTGAAGCTATCTCCAAGGTTTACCCAGTGCAAAGCTCTTTTACCACCCAAAGGGGCCAGGTTTTGCGAGCGGCGAGCGTGGATGCATTCTTGATCAATCCTCATTCCACATTGCTAACATTGAAATGATTTAAAAATTGCCAGCTTCTTTCGGGCCAGTGTTCTCGAATAAGATTCTTTGATCAGAGATACAAAAGCTGATTTTCATAATAAGATCAGCCAGTCTTGGAGCTCTTAGAGATGACAAAAATTTTGCACGCCCAGGAATATTTAGGACCTGTCAACCATCTGTCCCTCTCATTGCAGCTGCTGGATGATGCTCCGCTGCAACAAATCCTTCACTTCCCCTGCAGCCAAGAATGTTCATACTGCTCCGATTGGAGTCTTACATGGGAGATACGAAATAGTTGGTTTATGTATGTGCGTATATGTATGTGTAGAATGTGTGTGTATATATAGATATATACACATGTACATACTGTACAATAAACGTGTATATATATATATATAAAACGTATGGTTATTTGATTTTTGGGATATTTCAGGTATCACAAGATCACCCCTCTCGGAGTGCACATTAAATCATAAATCAATATGACGGATTCTCGGGGCCGTTTCTGGAACCGATAAACTATATAACTCCCAAGAAAACTGGAGATTTCAACAGCGAAAATTCAGACCTCGCGGATGTTCAGGGATCGGTTTTTCCGCTGGATTGAATAGATTTCATACAACAAATGATGTATGAAACAAGAGGGTATTGCTGCAATCCGCATAGATGGCTGTGGTTTTTGGGACATCTATTAGTGAGGTGGGGAAAAGGCCATTACACCCAGGATTTTTTCGGCCCGGGAAAAGGCTATTGGCATCCTGCTTGCTATGATCATTTTCAACCAGAACATATTCCAAATCTTCCAAGTTCTCTTCTTGTCCATAAAACATCATAAAAACATCATAAAACCCACCCGGCATACCGAACGAAAAGCCATTTCTGGGACCAGCCTCCCTTTTCGGAATCGCCATCACCGATGAACTGAGAAAATGCCGATGAACACATATGGTGGTTTCCTAAAATGGGGAATCCCCAAGTCACCATCGGGGTTCAATACCAAAAGGGTCTAATCTTGGATGATTTGGGGGTACCCCCCATTTCAGGAAACCTCCATGTAAAACTGGTAAACTATCACCACCTCGACCCTCGCGCTGCATCCTCAGAGCAGTCCCGCCTAAGTTCTTCAACGTCCAGGCTTTGACATCTTCCTCGCTCTTTCCAGGATAATCAGGACCCTGATGCCAGTCCTTCGTGACCCAGCTGTCAAAGCTGCTAAGTGGCAACGGATGCTTCAACTGCATCAGACTTATATACATGGAAATACTATGATTGCTGAGTCAAATCTATGGACTGTATAATCATAAATATGAAACGTTGAAAGTGACCATTGTGACTCCGAAGTTACCAAGTTGGACTTGGATCACCCCAGAGGCTCTATCACTTCAAATGTTAAGAATTTAAGAAACAAAAGTGTTCTAGAATGAGGTCCAATACTAAGGTAAACTTCAAATGAATCTTCTCCCAACTACTGGAAGTGATCTTCAAACGATTTCGAATATATTAAAATGTTGTATGAGTTTTCTTTGAATGGACTTACATATTGAAATGACTTCAAATTCTAAGATCAGGACCTTGAATAGACATGTTTGTTCAATTTGAAGCACTTGAGATGACCCAGTCACTCCTGGTACTGCATCACTTTGGCGTTGTCACTGCGATCCAGCAGCACCGCCTGGATGCAACGCCATAAACCGCCCATGACTGGGAATGGTAAACATACCACCTATAAAATGGTGATGACTGGGGGATGGTTTATGACATTGTTTTACCCACATTATGTCGAATTACAATAAGCCCAAAGAGGAAACCATTGGTTCCAGAATTCGGCTACATATCAACGATTCTTATGGATCAACGAAAAATGAACACCAACTTGGTAATACCATTGATGCTATACTTGAAAGAATAAATTTGAAGCAGAATGTTGATGAATTCATGTAAGACGATTTTAATTCTTAAAATTAAAATAAGTCTTAAGGTGACTCAGCCATTCCAATCATAGCTTTCAACCGTGACTAAGCCATTATGGCATCATCTCTGCTGCAACTTCTGCAAATGCGCGACTCAGTTTTTTGTTCCCCTATATCAGCACAAATCAGACTGTAAATTCCCTTGGAAACATTATTGTGAAAGGGTGAGTTGAAGAGAGGCCGGGTGTAAGGCCCTAGAACCGGGGTTTTAAATATGCCTTGTCTTTGCAAGTGCAAGTCAACCTTGTAATCATCGCTAACCCAAGAATCGCGTATTCTGCAAAATGCTATGTTTTCTAGCGATATGACTCTTCCCACATCAAAACAGTTCGAAATTAGCGTATTGAACAACCATTGCCCAGGGGTTCACCCATAATTCACGGGTCATTACAACATTTCTATTCAAGACAATTACAAGTTCCGTAGGTGAAATATCCACGTTTTGGTGAAATCAGAAACCTACCCGTTACCACTGTTCCCACATTAAAATAGTTCGACCGTCACCTATGAAAATCCAATAACCCCCTGAAAATGATCCGCAGCAAAGTTCACCCTAGAGGAATGGGGTTCAAACTCCCATGAATTTCCCGGTCCAAAGCCCATTTGAAGTTCAAACATAAAGCCGCAAAAAAATGCGAAGAGGCCCTTAGTTCTGTTTGTTGTGTTACGTTCGCCCAACTGCGGATGAATCTCCATCTCCAACACTGTACCAGATAGAACCTGAGTTCCAGCAGAAAGCTATCCTTTTGTGGCCCCAAAGACCATCAAAGACCTAACTTTCAGCAGTGAGGTCCCAGGTGGCACCTGAAGGCCTGCTGCTCGAGCACCACAGAAATCCGCTGCCAGGCTGTCCCCGATGTGCAGGACCTCCTGTAGAGGCAGGGCCAAGCAGCCAGTGATGTCAAAAAAAGGCCGTGGCGTCTGCCAAGGTTTCCCACAGACTTTCCTTCAACCAACCTGATGTGGGGGATGTAGCCTGAAAGATCGGCTCCTCTCGTTTGATGCCTTCAACCCAAAAGCTGGCCTGCGTCGTGGAGAAGAAAGATATTGGTGTTCGACTGGAGGGTGAGAACAAGGCATAGAACTTCCCAAAGTCAAGGTCTCTACCTGATAATTTCTAGGCGTCCATATGTTTCCAAATTGCTCGTCTCTTGGGGTTGCTTTATGAATCCAAAATGGAGTATTACCTGGTTACGACCAATGTTAGGTCATTGTTGGGATCCCAGATATTGTATCTTTGAGGGTCAATGGCTTTGACTTATTCAATGTGAAGTCGTACAAAACTGGAAAAAAAAACGACAAAAACATTGAGGAAAATTTGCTTCGGAATAGGAAAAATCTGGTTCAAAACCAGGTGGACTCCATAGCTTGTTCTACAAGCAGTTGTTGCCCCGATGATATTCTGCGGTCCAAAAACAGAGATCCCAAGTCATGGCATTCAAAAAAGTCGGGAAATGATGCAGAAAATTGAGTGATGAGCCTTTGGATGTTGTGGTATCCTATCGGACAATGGTGCTCGTTTTTATCCATTCTATTACATTCTTCATTGGTCAAGTCCGTCATTTTGACGCTGAAGTCCCCTTGGCTACCTTTATTAAGTTAGACCTGATAGAATGATAGATCAGTTATCTCATGATTCCGATACTATCAAGTGAGGCCCCTGAGTTGGTTTAGTTGCTTTATAACGCCCATGAATACTATACTGATAACTTATAACAGCCAAAAGACTCAATCATGAAATTCAGTTCTGGCCCCCTACAATATGCTACAAGGGATTTTTTTTGAAATCCGCTACTGGTTAGATCAGGCCCCCTTTTTTTCCACCAATACCTAGGGGCGCCTGCCGGTGAGTCTCCACAAAGATCCAGGGGTCGGGTTTTTCAGTGCCCACTTGGCCACTGCACACGAACCACCTGTGAGACGAGAAACCACCAGAGGCGCGACTTCTCTCTGGGGAAAAGCACCATAATTAGGGACTTGACCATGAATCATCAAAGGATCCCTATGAAGAATGGACGTGGCTTGGTGTGAAAATTGGGAGGGGAACTCATGGTTCAATGACGATTTGGGTTAATTGTTATACCCTATGTTTGGACAAACCTAGAAGTATCCACCGCAAACGCTATTTCGCCGGGCTTCTAGGTGGACTGGGAAATCATAGGTGGTTCTTCGATTTTTTTATGAAATAAGCCAGTTATATATGGAATAGTCCCAACTATATGTGGGTTACTGTATACTGTACAACGTGGTGCCCCCCAGTCATGTTTGGTTCATAAGCCCAAACTATGGGTATACTTATTAGTTTTGTCAACCAAGGTAACCAACAATCTGTTTGGAGGATCATCCCACTTACAAACTGGTAACCGTGGTGATCGCAAGTCCCCATTTGTGGCTTATCCCAGATGGTCATCCTCCAAGCACCGGTGGGCTGAACACCACCATCCAATAGGTGGTTGGAACTTTCCGGGAAATGCTTCGTCCAAGGTAGAACGGAAAGTTAAAAATATTTGGAAACCACAAACCAGACATGTCAAGACACCCAACTCCCGTTTTCCACCTGAAATGGTCGTGAAACCCGAGCATGGGCAATGTGTTGTCAATCGTTCGCGAGCAACTGTTGGTAGTGACCTGAGCGAAAATGATGCAAGGATGACACAAAGAACAGCTATCCCACTGGTTCCTGAAAGAGGGACACATGACCATCATACATCCATTTAATGTATTTTATTTATATAATATTCTGATATGCTGGGTGGATGATCATAATTCACCAACCTTGAAGTGATAAATTGTGGTGGTTCCACCCATCCCGACCATCGTTTATGCAATGGCCTATTTACAGATGATTTACCCTTTTTTAACAGGCTGAATTCCCATGTCGTAAACTGTAACAAAGTATTAGAGTGTTCAACATTTAATCATTATGTTTGCGGTTGGTATAATACTTCAAAAATCATTGATAATATCCCATATTTGTCCATATTTATCCGGGTATAACATGGTATAACTTACTAGATACCCAGCTTACAAGTGTTTTTAAAAGCCCGGTTCAAGCTACAGTGGACCACACTTTGGGTTTCCCGGACCGCAAACTTGAGCAACATCTCGCAACCCCAAAATAGATGGAAGGGTAAGACACCTGGAAATGATGTAAATATCATGTTTAATCATGTTTATATCTCTTTATCATCTTTACCATCCTGGAAACGCGTTAAGATCAAAACAGATCAAACTGATCAAATGGTGAAATTTATCCAATTGTCTCATCCTCAACCATTTGACCCATGGCCCCTTCGGGGATCATCACAACTTCAAAAACGGTGATGTATCGAAAATCCTGGTTCCTAGTTTTGATGGTTTTAATTTTCAATCCTTATTCCCAATCTTCTTTAAAACCTACCCAGTAGGAATCCATGCAAAACTTGGCCAATTGACCCCCTGGTCTGGGCCCAGGCACACCGATGGCTAGGCCCTGCTGCTTGGCCCAGTCCAAAAAACCCTTGGCGTCCTTCAGTTCTTCGTAGGCCTCCAGGGTGCCTTGGCCCCGGAAAGGCCCAGGCCAAACCGTTAGATGGGCCACGAAGTCACGAAGCAACCGTTAGATATGACGATTTTTGGGCGACCAGAAAATGGGATTGAACATGGAATTGAAAATGATGATTTAATGAGTTTTAATGGGATTCGAATGGAGCATAATGGGAATATTACCAACAATACCCCCCGTCATCAAACGTGGCAATGAAAAAATCACCCATTTTTAATAGTTTGACAAATCTCCATTTGCTGCAAAACATGAAGTCGTATTTAACTACCTGTCACAGTTCAGTTTACCCAGTCGCATCCCAATTTTGTGCAGTGGTACAGTATCCCATGTTTATCCAGATGTGTTGATTATTCACCACCAACAAATTCCAAAAACACAGATAATTACTATATATGTATATATGTTTAACTGGGAGATGTCATATCATTGAGCCACAAAGTACCAGGATCTTCAAATGCCTCGGTCCCTCGGTTGTCGCGCCGTGGTGCCATAGTGCTGATAGACGCGCTGGAAGAAACGCTCAAAGTCCGCGTTGCTATAGTCCCGGCCGCAGTGCCGCAGGGTGTTTTTGACAACTGCTGCCTGGGCAGCACAAAAAGAGCTGTTGAAGCTAAAAATTCATCGGATGTTGACCAAACATGGTATATCAAAACAACAAAAATGAGGAGAAAATGGGTGTATAAGTATTGTAAGCAACAAACATTCAGGTTTATGTTGAAATAAGAACACACTGTTGGATTTATGGTAGATAGAAAGTTGATATATATTTATATGTAATGTGTATATAAAAATATAATGTATATATACAATGTATTTATATATCTATCTATCTATCTATCTATCTATCTATCTATCTATCTATCTATCTATCTATCTATCTATCTATCTATCTATCTATCTATCTATCTATCTATCTATCTATATTATGTATGAATATTATGTATATATATAAATATTATGTACATATATTATGTATATATATATATATTGTGTATATATGATGTATATATAATGTAAATATAATCTATATAAAATGTATATATATTATGTATAAATAATGTATATGTATATGTATAATGTGTATACAAATAATATGTATATATATAATGTATATATATATACTGTAAATATATATCTGTATACATATACATATATATGTATATATAATGTGTATATATAATGTGTATATATAATGTGTGTATATAATGTGTATATATAATGTATATATAATGAATATATGATGTATATAGCATGAATATATAATGTATATAGCATGAATATATAAGTTATATATCCATATATTTAATGTGTATACTGTATAATCTATAAATATATATAATGTAAATATAGATATATATATATAGTATAGATAATGTATATATATATATCTATCACGTATAAATAATGTAAATATAATGAATATATATAATGTATATATAATGCGTATATATATAATGTATATATAATGTAAATGTATATAATGTAAATATATATATATTATGTATATGTATACAATGTAAATATAGTGTGTATATATATATAACGTATATATAATGTATATATAATGTATTTATAATGTATTTATAATGTATACAAGGTATATGTTGCAAATCATGTATACAATGTAAATAATGTATATAATGTACATAATGTAAATAATGTATAAAATGTAAATATATATAAATATATTCTATATGGAATGTGTATATATATAATGTACTTATGTATAATGTAAATATATAATGTGTATATATATAATGCACCTCTATATTATGTAAATATAATGTATATATATACATTTAATGTAAATATATATAATGTATATATATATATAAATTATGTAAAAATATATATATATATGCATATTATGTGTGTAAATATAATTGATATATAATGTATATATAATGTAAATATATTATGTATATATAAATATTTTATGTCTGTAAAAAAATATTCTGTATATATATATAATGTGTAAGTATATCATGTGTATATATAATATATATAATGTATATGTATGTAATGTATATATATAGTGTATATATATATATAAAATGTATATATATAGTGTATATATATATAATGTATTTACAATGTATATAATGTAAATAATGTATATAATGTAAATATAAAATCTATATGTGATGTGTGTATATTTTTATATATAGTGTAGATATATATTTATATAATGCATAATGTATATATATGATGAATATTTATATATTTAATGCACCTATATATTATGTATATAAAACGTGTTTATATATAATGTATAGTTAATGTATATATAAAATGTATCAATAATGTATAAATATGCAATGTATTTATTTAGTGTATATATATTTAATGTGCATATTTATAATGTGTATATATATAATGTATATATAGATATAATGTATATGTACATACTGTATATATTTAGTGTATATATATAGACTCGTTCAGCGCCACAACTTTTGTTCGCTCCGCAAAGTCAGATTTGTCACAAAATAGAGAAATTCCGAAAAGCTTTTCCCTTCCCAGGAGCACAAAAACCACAATCAAACCACCATTCAAAGGCCAAAGCCCTTATACCCCTGGAGACTCCCAGCCAAACCCAAGGAGACTCCAGCCAAGGTATAAACAAAGATGGGTTCTTTCTTGTCCGGCCAAACCCAAGACAAGAAAGACCAAACCCATTACACGCCACCCCAGCGTTTTTTGTGCGACTGCATTTCTTCCAAGTCCCCCTGCTCTGTGCCTGTTTAGGCACGGGCTCAAGTGGAGGCAGGGGTAAAGTGAGACTACGGGAGTATTGTTGCCGAAAATTTTTTGAAAAAGAACTCCAGGGGAGTGTCATCTCTGCCAAAACAGACAACCCTTCATTAAGGTAAACACGTGCCGTTTTCGCTGATTGCCAGCGACCAGCCACAAGTAGCTGATCAAATCCAGTTTGAGATGAGAAGAGGTAAGTAGCGCCTCCTCGTCTCAAAGAATACGGTCTAAAATCCCAACGTGAAAATCCCAAATTGGAAAGAACACTGGAAAATTCTTTTCGCCAAACGTGTGCAGGCCCCGTTAAGGAAACATTCGGCGGAGAACGTTGAACCCACTGGAACAGTCTTCGACAGACATCTTCACCATGCACTGTAACGGATTCAGCCGCTCCTTGGCGTTTTCCGCTCTTGGTTAGGCCTAGCGAGATTACTGCTGGACCACGTGGCGAACGAATTGCAACATGTCTCCCTCTTACATTCAGGAGTTCTCCCGTTCGCAGGAGACCATGGAACGCCAGCAAAAAACTGAGCGCCAGTTGTGGCTTTTGTTTAAACATTGCGTACCCTACCATGGCGTGAACAACTTCCAAAGGTAACGGAGGCGCTCGATTAGGAACCTCATGTGTGGTCCAAGTCTTGAGCAACCTCCAACTTTCAACCAACTTTCCTTTGAGTCTTGGCTGAACGTCCTGTAATGCGGCCAGGATATTGGAACCTTCCGTTCGCCCAGCTCCTGAGGCCCACAGATGTTCCAAATAATCTCCAACTACAGAGTCCAAAGCAGCTGCCTGAGTAGGCAAAATGATATGGTGTTCGCGCAAATAGGTATAAAAACTCTCTCTAGCTTGAGCATACCTCGCTTTTGTAACGGGTTGCACAGTTAGCTCTCGCAGTGTACCCATACTTTTCCGGATCTTAACCCTTTCCTCTTGCGTTTTTCCCTCTAGATGCCTTTTAGGCATTGGACCATTTTCTTTTCCGGGGGAGCCTGCTTGGGGCGTCCGCCGGATTGTCCTTTGTGTGGACGTAGGCCCACACCACATGAGAGTTTGTGGCAAGAAGAAGGGAATTGATCCTAAGCAGGGTACGCTTCAACTTTCTGCTACTTGATCTACCGCGGCTTAATGAGTGTAAACACACGAGAGAGTCTACCAGGTGCACAAATTTCGAATGCAGCACCCCTTTGCGCTCAATGCGCCATTTAAGGGCGGTTAAAACTGCACGTAATTCCAGGACATTAATGTGCTCAGTTTGTTGAGACCACTTCCAACCACAAATGGTCCGCCACTTCCAAAGCTTAGCTGGAAGAGAAGCCCGCAGGCGTTGATACCTGACCTGGTCTTCCGATGTGGATTGGAGTAAAAGGTCATCACCTTTAATGCTGACCAACGTGCACAATTTACGCACCAGTCTCACCTCATTGGATGGTCCTGGTATGCGACCGCCATGCCCCATGAATGGGCGGTGCAAAAAAGTCTGCAGGTCTGTTTGACATCCCGGCGCTGTTCGTGCAACGAGGTCCTGTACTTTAAAATGCTGGTTTAAACCCAATCGCTCCCCCAGGTGCCCCAGCAACCATGCAACCACCGTGACATTCCACGAGTTGCCAATTAGTGACAACCGACAATCATGGTACTCCTTTGACCCATGCTTGGACTTAGGCATACACTGCGAGGTGTATCCTTTTGGAAATCCCATGATAACCTCCCTTTCTTCAATGTCCGGGAGACGCAGGGTCCCATGTTTGTTTGTCACGCAGTGCCGCTGTTGATATTGGTACGGAGGAAACCTGTACCTATCTTGCGTCCACCTCTTCAAATCCTCCGGAGAGCATTGTTTAAGACCAGCAGGTTTGTAGCCTGGCGAATCTCGAGGCCTCGAAGTAGTAAAAGTGGGAAACCTTCCTTGGTCTACAGCTTTCCATCCCGATTGCAGGTAGCGCTCTGGCTCCACATCTGCCTTCAGTGAATACTGCCACCTCCCTGAGGGTAGAAAATCACCTACAGCATCCTCCTGAGATGTCAATTCCCAGTCTGTCCAGTAAAGCCTTGGCCTGTGGGCTAAGCTTACATCACCTGCATCAATGTAACATGGTTCCGCGCCAAAGCTCATAGACATCACCTCCTCGTCATTTTTATCCATCGAGGCCACTGATTCCATCAAGGTTTGGACCTGTGCCCATGGGAAACCTCTTTGCAGCAATTCTCTCACCCGGGGAACGTGCTGAAATAAGGCACTCCGTTCATCACGCAGTGCGCCCTTACGCGATGCATTCAACCCACTGACGCCTTGACACGGAGGACCAGCCCCAAGGACGATGAGCCCCACCTGTGAAAACTTGAGTGACCATTCCTTAACCATATCCGCCGAAATGTCCTTCACATCAGCCACATGGATAGTGTTGGGGAACCTGGACTCAACCACACGCGCTGCTTCAGGCGACTTCTCCACGCTGATATGTCCACTACGTTCCAGCCAAGAGAGTCAGCTGCAACCCGCAGACCACTGATGCCATCGAACAACCCCACCGTGAGCACCCCCGTGACATCTGCAGGTTCCACGACATCGCCCCGAACAGGACAGTGAGCAGCCACACAACCAGAAGGAGTAAGACCCTTAGAGGCAGTCACCCCCCTCCGGTAGTAGACGCATCACTAGCCGTCACCAACCCAGACAACCGACACCGAAAGTCCAAGAACGACAACGGGACCAAACCCAGAAACCGCACAATTTCAACCCGCACTTCCAAAGGGATGGTCAACTTCACCACCGGGGGAAAGGGATTGAAGGAGCAGATAAACGACCAGATACAGTTCAAGCTACCCA